ATTTGGTATTGTTTATACTTACTAATAGGTAGTAGTCTCTGAATTCTATTTGAACAAGGCCCTTACAATGAAATATGTTACTGTATAACTGACTTTAAGTGGGCTTGCTGAAAAAATGACTTGTGAGGCTTAGACATGGTCTTTGACAAAAACTGACTAACTCAGGTTCTGGGTCATCTTATGCAAAGTCAGTTGTTTACTTTTCTGCCTCCCAGTGGCCGAGGGGTTGAGATTGCTTTCACTGTCTCACCCACTTGAGTTTGGTCAAACATATAGAACACTAAAAACACTTTTAAGATGTCCAGGACAAAGCAACATAGACTCTTAGTACATAGTAATCTATGTACAAATTACTTATGTTAGTTATTACATGTATAGAAATTCTTCCATCCCATTCCTATATTCCTTTCTCTTACAGCTCCAGGCTTACACCCTGTCCCTGGTGGAGTGTTCCCAGTACCACCTGCAGCAGTTGTTTTAATGAAACTTCTCCCTCCTCCTATTTGTTTCCAGGTTTGTTCACCATTTTCATGACATATATTTGCTCTATGGGTAAAAGTAGTAATTATGTACTTTTTCTCTTTTATCGTGGGAAATACAAAGTGGGGCTATTTTAACTTGTCCGATTATTGGGGATTAAGTTTTCTTTGTGTCAAAATAGGGTCCTTTTGTACAAGTGGATGAACTGATGGAAATTTTCCGAAGATGCAAGATACCAAATAGTAAGTGATGAGGCTCCATTTGTAGAGTGGAGTTCACATTGTTGTCTCCAAGACAGGAGAGATCACCACTGAAGTTTCCAAAACCAGCAGGCCACCTTGCAGCAGCGCAGTGACGCCTGGCAGGGGCCCACACCCTCTGTGGCGCAGGGGCCGGTTTATGCTCTAATGCTACTAAGAAAAATACCGTCAGAAGCTTCTTTTCTATTCATGTGAACATGCACTATCAGATTTTGCTTATGAAAACTTTATTAATTTTAACCACAGTTTTTTGTCTTTATTTAGCATCAGTAGTACTGTCTCAGAATTTGCTAATAGGAAGCTACAAAATGATAAAGTATCCAAAGTGGTACATACATATTCCTTCACAGCATACTTTTTTTAAATTGGGCTATAGTTACTTTACAGTGTTGTGTTAGTTTCTGCTGTATAACCAAGTGAGTGACACAATAGCATACTTCTAAACACCCTCCAACAGTCCTTTTGTTTTGCTTCAATAGCAGTTGAAGAAGCTGTGAGGATCATTACTGGAGGAGCCCCAGAGCTAGCAGTAGAAGGCAATGGCCCAGTGGAAAGTAATGCAGTGCTCACGAAGGCCGTCAAAAGGCCCAACGAGGATTCAGATGAAGATGAGGAAAAGGGAGCTGTGGTCCCCCCTGTTCATGACATTTACAGAGCGCGGCAGCAGAAGCGGATTCGGTGAAGCGGGTGTAGCGCCTGCCTCACAAGAAAACTCTTAGCCTTTTGCCTCTAATCATATGTTTAAAAGAGACAATGCTTTGTTACAAGGTTCTTGGAAACAAAGTTGTATTGTCATTGGTGCCTCTATCATATGGTTCTGGAGAACAACCAACCAACCTACGTGAATTTTAGGATATGGAACAGACCTATGCTCTGAGCAGAATTAGGTTTTCAAAAGTGTGAGAACAGTACCAAGTGGCAGAACCACATTTTGTTCCCGCTTCAAGGGTGTCTTGTACGTACCACTTGAAGACTTGTGGGTTTTCAACAGTTTTATTTTAAAAACTGGATGGCTTATGATTGTAAAGCATTTTATCACATTTTCTGAAAACAGCTGTTTTTGGTTTGCTTATGTAGAGTCCTGCCTTATTGTTCGTTTTATTTATGGCAGAATGTATGGAATCCGTTTTGTAGTTTAACATTTTAAAACAATCCTTTAAAAAATAAAAGGATCTCAAAAAAAGTCACGTCTCCTGCTGCTGCTTTCATTCACATTTGAAATAGCAGCTTATGTTATTCAGCCAATACAGTTTAAAAATAAATGTCAACAATACAAAGAAAAGTCATCTTGTATTTACCATTTATACAACTACTGTCCTTTCCTGGTCTTTTTTGCTACTATTTGAAAACATGAGGGATCCATTTTTAAGAGGTAAACTAAACATTTTAGAAATCCTCAAATATGAATGCATTTTCCCCAAATTAAATCTGAGGGAGACTGAGATATTTTATCTTTCATCTCTCTCAAAAGTGACATAAGTATGGGTATTCCTTCAATCACTCACTGTCTTGCTCTCACATGTATTTCAATGTTCAAGACCGTTTTTTTTAAGCGCTAAACAGAGACAGCATCAAGGGAAAAGAAACACTGGCTGGCTGCACTGGCCTCTGCGGTGGCCCACACTCAGCTTCTGGAGTGTGTTTCACTCTGAATAAATCCACTTCTTACCTATCAAAAAAATAAATAAAACTGTGGCCAAGTAACCAAAAACTGATTACAGTGAGCAAAAATTTATCCTTAAAAAGTAAGTCAGAAAAATTGTTTTGCTCTTTGTTAGGAGCATTACCTCCTCTAGACTCATTTTTAGAAAACTAGACCAAAAACATGTTGAGCCCTGAGGATTGTGATTCAGAGTAAAGGCTAAAAATCAGGACCAAAAAAAAAAGGAAAAGTATTAAGGCTATAAAAAGACAATCTTACATATTGGGTACACAATTTAGAATTTGAATTCAAGTATGATTAAATTTCAGCCTCAAATATTTCTACAAATGAAAAAAAAAGTTATATTAATTTCTTATATAAACTTGTATGTAGCAAGGTTATACTTACCTAAGTTGATCCCAAGTGTCTCCAGTATTTTACCAGTAAAGCTGAGTAAAATTTTCTTAAAACAAAGTCAGCTCTACCTCAGATTTTGTTATCTTAAGTATCATTTCTAAGCTGTGTGGGTTTTCTTTTTAATATCATGGTTATCAACAATACAATCTGAAAGGCACTAGTAGTACCATATAGCAGACTTTAAAATATAGAGATATGGAATCTTTCTTGGAGTGCTATTGTTGGGTAGTGTATTAAAGAAGACAAACTGATTTCAAATACCTGTAATGGTCTGTAAGAGTGTTTCCATATGAGCAAACAAAGCCATATATGATTATGCAAGGAAAATGATCCTTTTTTTTTTTAAGCATTGTGACAAGAAAACACACATACACAATCCTACCTACCTTGGTGAAAGTGCTACTAAGGACTGTTAGGCCATTTATATGTATTATAATTGTTCCTACTGCATTTATTTCTAAGACTTTTCCCCCTAGAAATTATATGACATTTAAACTTCAGATTATTTCTTGTTAAGAAGAAAACATTTTCTTAATATTCTATATATATATGTAGAACTTAATGTTCTCTCTGTCTATGTATATGAACTTTTGGTTTTTAGTATGATTCTGTGTGAATGTTTGATAATTCATTCATCTAACATCAAGTAGCATGATGTTAGAAATCTGAACTCACTTTTGGAATTCTATGTGCAGGCTCCTGTGGTATATATATCCAGTCCTACATGTCCAAGGACTCATATCCATATTGCTGGATGCAGAGAAATTACCAAAAGAGATTAATATCTTTCCTCTCCATAAACAATGATAGCATCCCCCCACAATTCTAGAACTGGATAAAATTTAAGGACCATAAATCCTTCCTAAACAAAAATCAGTCAAACTCTGGCTTTTAGCACTAAATTTCAAACAAGAGGTTTTATCTGTGTAGCCACATAAAGTAAAAGGTTATATAGCTACCTAGTAAATATAAAAGTGATCAAATTGTACTACTGGAAAAGAATGAAAATATGAACCACTTTTGTCAGCATGTTGACCTTGGGGGAGAATTATGAATTTATTTGGTAATTTTATAACCCTCTACTGGCATAAACTTAATACGTAAACTAAGAGTTGATTTACATGATAGTAAAATTAAAATCACCATGTTCATAAATTCTGGTTTTTACATTTCAATTTCCAAAGCAAACTTCATTGAAGTTGGTAGTTCTTACTTGACTGTGATGTTCAGCAAGTGCAGTTATATTTTATTTAATACAAATTTCAGAATTCTTGAATGGTTAATTCATGCCAAGTTAACAAAACTCGGGTACCATATTACTGATTTAGGTAAAATCTTAAATATTTAACAGAAGTCAGCTTATCAGGCTCTGGGAATAAAAGTTCAAAAAACCAATTCCATTTACTAAATTTTCTTCCCTGTCCAAGACGTGACCAAATTTCTGCTTTGAGCCCACAGCAGACAGTACTTTAAAAAGCAGAGGCAATGAGAATGAGAAAGCAAAAAAAGTGTTACTTTGATTTTAAGGTTGCTTTTAAGTCAAAAGTTGCACTTAAAAGATTCTCAGTGTTTAGTTCAGATAGGTTGTTGTTCAGTCACTAAGTCATGTCTGACTCTCTGTGACCCCATGTAGCCCGTGCCAGGCTCCTCTGGCCATGGGATTTTCCCAGGCAAGAATACTGGAGTGGGTTGCCATTTCATTCTCCAGAGGATCTTCCCTACCCAGGGATCAAACCCACATCTCCTGCATTGCAGGCAGATTCTTTACCTCTGAGCCACCAGGGAAGCTAGGCTTCATTCAGATAAAACAAATACAAAAGTGGTGAAGTCTGACTATTGATACCAACGCCAGACACAACTGATTTCTAAATTAAGTGATATTCCATCAAATCGGGCCTTCTGAACTATAAATTAGTCTTAATTTATAGTTCAGAAGGCAACATAGGTTAAGACAGAAATCCACACTAAAGGCAGTTTTAGGTAAAATTTTGCCTGCTCAGGTTTCTGACACATTTCTAGGACTCTAGCTTTTTCTGAAAGTATAAGTGAACATTCGATAGGTTAATAGAGGATTTCAGGCTTAAAAGTTTTTCCTTTCCCCGTTGCATGAAGGTGCTTTGAAAACTGAATAAAAAGGCAAACCATTAAAAAAAAAGGTAAACTATTAAAATAGGTATATAAAACCCAATATAAATACACAATTGCAAACATCATTGTAATTCTTTATTTAGGTTATGTTTTCAATGAGATAGTGCCTTTTAATATGAGTTTCATAGCCTATCATCCACTACCAGTCAGTCATTCATTCATTTACTTCAAATAATATAGAGGTGGAAATGAGAAATCACTGGAGTGCAGGTGAGTGGCAGCATATAAGAGAAGTAAGATTGCAGCTCTGGTACAGAAGAGATGAAAAAAGAAAATAACAGTCTTGGGACAGGATAGGAGGAAAACCTCTATAGGCCTGTAAAACGTGCTTGACTGAAGGAAAGGGCACCCGCGGTCGAATCTGTCATCACCTACAGGCAAAAGGTTACAATACTCTCCTTTGTTGCTAATAAAGCCATTTATAGTTCTTTTGCGTGTACAAAGCATTCCAAAAACCATTATCAAATTTAATCCTCACAGGAAGTGTGAGTTAGTATTCTTGTTTCACAGAGCCTCAGGAAGAATGGCCCAGTATCACATAATCTTGCAAGAAGGCAACAGAGGAAAGACTCAACCCAGATCTTCCTCTAAGGCAGGATCTTTCTGCACAATCCGACCGCAGTCTACTTCAGTTATTCCAGTCAAATTTATCCCAGAATGTCAGAATTGAAAGGCCCTTTTCTAGTCCTTTCAATTTATAGGTATTGAAAATGGGTCCTGATTTGCTCCAGCTAATCATGACAGAAATGGGATTAGAACTCTGGCTTCTTGACAGCTCTCAGTCTTCCCACTCTACTATTCTGCCTCAAAAGAAATACAAATGTTTTACACACAAGTCAGGGCATGTCAAAAGATCACTGGAAATCAAAGAGCAAACACCTATTCACTCCCTTGAAATTCACCAGGAAAGCAGGCTGCTCTATCCCCAGGAATCTTAAGACTTTGGAGAAATTAAAATAAGCCACAAACACAGAACTGCTAAATAAGCTATTCAGAATTGTCAGCCAGTAATGTGCACATTATATGCCTATTGGGTCAAACTTTTTAATAACTTTTCTTCACAGAGAAAAAGTTCCTATATACCTGTCCACTGCATTAATCAGTAAGATATATCAGTGTAACTCTTACCTGAAGTATATTTATAGGGTTACATGAACAATCACATTTTACAGCTTGCTTCAGAATTAATGAGATTAAAAAAAGAAAAATACATACCGTGAGACTCCACCCACTATTCACCTAATCAATTGACAGCTGACTTCTAGACATTTATTCACTCACCGACTCATTCATTTAGGAAACTATCAGAGAAGTCAAACTGACCTGCTATCAACCCAGCTCTCAAGGCGCTCAGTTCTACCCACTTGTAATGAAGTACTATTGCCAAATAAAAAAATATGTTTTCCACAAACCCTTTTAGGCAGGAAACCATGTCAAATCCAATCAGCATGTAGTATATATATAAAACCAGTTAAATTCTGAAGGATAATTTATATGCCAAAGGTATTTTGTCTCCAAGACAAAATACCCTGTAGTGGGGAGTTCTAAGTAGATGCTCAGTGAACATTTCCTGAGTGACTGAATAACTAAATGAATTTTCCTGGCCCTTTGATAATCCTATGAGATTCCAGGAAGAAAAACTAGCTCACTTATCTTCAAAGAGCAACAGCAAAACGATTCAATATGAATATCGAGATTCTGAACTTCACCGTCTTCATTCTGGCTCTTGTAGAATTCCACCAGGGGACACTGAGGTAGTGGGGGCCACAGGAGTCTGTGAAGCTCCCTGTTACATGGGCATCAAGATTTGAAACTGTCCAAACGTCACTCTATCCATGTAGGAACCCATGAGGGGGAAAAAAATCTACTAAGAGTTAATTCTTACAAAAGAAAGCAGAATGAAGAACCCTGGAGATTTAAGGGAAAATGACTACAGGAGGTGGTGACCCGCCCTGCATCTGTGGGGGTTACACTCCCCTCCCACATCCTTGGATGGGGTGGAGAACCCCTGAACACTGAGGCGGAGGCAAGCCAGAGAGCCCCCCCACCCGCTGAACCTCATTCTCTGCGACCAGTGAGCGCAGCTGCCACGGCAGCCTGACCTCCAGGAACAATTCCAGAGGTGACCTCACTGGTGGTGCTACAGAAGATGTGGTTTTGTTCTTTAAAAGTTCTACTTACTGAGCTTTTAACCCCTTCCCAGGAAACCAGGGATGCCTTGGGCCTAAGCTTTATTAACATGACCTCTGACCATGGAACCCAGCATACATTTCTGACTACAAGTAAAAATATTAGAGTGCAGTCTGAAGCAAATATATGGAGAAATCACATCCCTCCCAGTATAACCAGTAGCTCCTCTGGAACCTTGTATCACTAGATGGTCCAGAGAGTGGATGTTTCCCCAACCCTGTCCCCAGCTCCACCTTTGCCCTTATGGGCTTGAATGAAGGGGTTCCTCGCATGACGCCACCCCTTGTGGTTCTGGCAGCTGGAGATCACCCCAATGACTTCACAGTTCCGTTTCTAACATAACGTCCCTATCTAAGATACACATTTATTTTTTAATAGAACAGTCATCTATGAGACCCCAACCTACCCTTTCAGCCACAGGATATGTCAGAAACTCTGGTCACTCAAGTTCCTAGATAAATACTGCTCAAAAACCAGAGATTTCCTATAACTTCATTACCTGAGAAGTAAGTGAGCTTATGCTATTTTATCTGAAAACAGTTAAATTCAATTCTGGAATTCGAATTCAGTCAATACATCAAGGTTGTATCAGAGTGAACTTTTCAGTAAAAACTTGCGATATCTGTCTTCTTTTACATTACACTAACATAAAAAAAAAAATCCTCAACTTTCAAGACATAAAAATCAAAGAATTTTCCTTTCTCTACATCCCATAAACACTATCATTCAGGTTTCAGAATTAATTTTGTATAAAAGAAGAAGCTTTTTGAAATCAAATATTAATAACTCCTCTAGAATGAAAGGATTCTAGGGCTCTGGCCAGGCCAGGAGGGGAGAAAGCAGTAAATAATTGGGGGTGGCGGGGGGCAGACAGGAGGCAGTAAGATTTATAAAGTTCTTCTAACATAAAATACCTGAAGGGAGGAGGGGCGGGTCTGAACGCATCATGGCTTGGCTGCTTTCACTCTGGGGTGGCTGTCAGATACTCTCGGGGGTCTGAAAGGAAAACAACCCAGATGGCAGGAGAGTGGTCCCAGGCTCCAGGCAGAGACAGGCAGCTACCACCATGATACACTGGGGTGGAGACACAGGACAGTCCTCCTAGAAGCTGAGTGCCACCTGTGAAACTCAGGACAACAAACAGCTTCTCTGATGTGTAAACTTGCACTCATAAATACAAACCCCAAAAGAGAATTCAGTGCATTTTCCAACAGGTCTTCTCAACATTGATACACAATATTCTTCCTTTTGGAATCAGTGCTATTAAACAGAAAAGTACTAAATAGCCATTTTCCAAAAAGCCACATTACAGCTGAGAACAGGTCGAGCTAGTAATACTGCCGCTACAGGGACCATATGTGTTAGGATCTGGCGAGGATCTTACTGAGGATTGCGTCGTAGTAGGGACTGAATACCATCTTGTTATAGTTGACCAGGCGCACAAACTTAACGGCAACTGCCTCTAGCTCTTTTTGAATCGGACCCAATCCCCCAGGGGCTATGGGCGATGGCTTCTGATGACTTGAGGCAAGGTAGGTGTCTAAGAAGGTCAGGATTCGGGAATCTGTGATTGAAGAGAAAGCAGACGTTTGTCTCTGGTCAGGGCGACTTTACAAACTTCTGTTTATGCTTCAGTTTTTAGCCTAAACGTCCCCTTTTTGAGAAAGCCTTCCCTGGTCACCCCGGGGCACCTCCCACTTCTGAACATTCACCCCTTGGGGATGCTTCCTCCACGGGGTGGGGCCGCGCCCCTCTGCCTGTCGCTCTCTCCCGAGCACCCAGCGCCTGCCATGAGACCCGGCCCCCAGGCAATGCCCCAAGTGATACACTTGGAAAGCAAGGATACACCTACGGATGACTAAGAGGAGCCGAGGGCGCCGACAGGCTCTGCTCTCAGAGGAGCAAGGCGCAACGAGACCATCATTAGCCACTGCTGAAGATCACACTAAAAGGGGGAGGAAAAACTAGGCAAGAAATACAAGTTCCAAAAAGAGCAGGAAGAAAGAAGACTCCAGCACTGCTGACCTGTGATCTAGTTTTCCCACAAAGCCCAGGAGAAGCCTGAGCCTCCTCGTCCATGGCCCACAGTGAAGCTCATAGCGCTGCGGGCACTGTGTCCTACTCCGAGGAATCACTTAGTTTGAAGCTTTCTTAGCCCCCCACCCTCACCCCCGTGACAGTGCTGCCATATACAGTCCTGTGTAGCCTCAGCTGCCAAAAAACTGTGTGCAAGCTGCACCAGGCAGATTTTATTATAAAAGCAACAGGGGCATTTGTATCGAATAAGCGTTTTCAAACTTCACGCCCACCTCAACTAGGGAAGCTTCTCAGGTGTGACTGACTTGCACTCTTTGGATCCCAGTCACACACCGCCACTGGCTGTGACTAAAAACCAAGCTGGCAGGAACACGGGGGCAGCCTGGAAGCCAGCGGTCTCCTTGCAGCCCTTTCCCGCATCCACACCCCACTTGATGACAATGATCTTGAGGGTCCGAGGGCCCTGCAACATCAGGAGGCTCCTCCTGAGGAATCCAAAGATGTAACTAAGGCAGGCCTGGGGTGAAAAAAATCCAATATGTAAAAAAATCACTGATTCATGTCAGTCTCTTTTTATAAATCCCACTTCGGACAGCATTCTAGTATTGGGCTGGTGGCTCAGATGGTAAAGAATCTGCCTGTCAACTCGGGAGACCTGGGTTCAACCCCTGAGTCAGGAAGATCCCCTGGAGAAGGGAATGGCAACCCACTCCAGTATTCTTGCCTGGAGAATTCTATGGATGGAGGAACCTGGCGGGCTACAGTCCATGGGATTGCAAAGAGTTGGACACGATTGAGTGACTCTTTCTTTCCATGAAATACTGTGATATGTGCTCAGTCGCTCAGTAGCGGCCAACTCTTCACGACCCCATGCACTGTAGCCCACCAGGATCCTCTGTCCATTGAATTTTCCAGGCAAGACTACTGGAGTGGTTTGCCATTTCCTTCTCCATCATAAAATATTACGTAGCAATAAAGAACAATAAGTGATAGTATTGGAAGCACACCCATATCACTAGTTCAGCCTCTACTCAGAATCTGATAACCATGGATCATTCTGATTTTACCTGAGGCATGCTAACTTTTCATTATTTATAAGAGGAACAGCTATCTGATTTCATAAAGAAGTTGAGGAAGGACATCACAATCAAATAACAATAATCCTAAAAATTAAATATTAGATGTGTTCCTTGATCAACCAGTGAACCGAATCAACCAGTGATGATGGAAAAGAACAGCTCATAGAGCAGAGTAATATTTTTAATAACTGCGACTTGTTGCTGAGTCCTCACTATGTGCTGCCGGGTTCGGCAGTAAGGACCTTACTTATATTTAATATTATCACCTGCAGTCCTCTCAGCAACCCTACACGTGCTGGCATTACTCACTTTTTAGAGATGAAGAATCTCAAGTATCACATCACTTGCTCAAGCTACACAGTAAGTACTTGCATAGAAAACCCATCCTAGTCTTGTACAAGTATGCTTCTCCTCATCCTTGCCCCACTACAAAGTCCAAAACACTTCTGGTTTTGTTTTGTGTTTCTTTTTCTTTTGGCCGCACCTTGAGGCATGTGGAATCTTAGTTCCCCAACCCGGGATCAAACCTGTGCCCCCAGCAGTGGAAGCACTGGAAGTGTGCAGTCTTAACCACTGGGCCACCAGGCACACATGCTAAGTCGCTTCAGTCGTGTCTGACCGCACAGACTGCAGCCCGCCAGGTTCCTCTGTCCATAGAATTCTCCAGGCAAGAATACTGGAGTGGGTTGCCATTCCCTTCCCCAGGGGATCTTCCTGACCCAGGGGTTGAGCCTGGGTCTCCTGCACGGCAGACTTCTTTACCATCTAAGCCACCACGGGAGCCCCTCAAAACCCTTCTGACTCCAGATCTGGAGGAGAGGGGTTCCCACCACCAAGCAACTGTCTGTGACCCCAGCTGAGTGTCCCACAATCTTACTCAGTTCTGACACCACCTGGACACAGCCTCTGTTCCCACAGGTTAAGGGTTCAGGCCCACAAGACTGATGCCACGTCAGACACCAACCACAAGGAGTAGGTCTCCAGGTCACCCACCACTTCTGTATGACCTGACTATACATCGGAGGTTCACATGGCATCCTTCCCCTTGGATTTTGTGATCTGCTAGAGCAGCTCACAGAACTCAGGGAGGTTTCACCACTTTATTATGTAATAAAGGCTCTGATAAAGGATACAAGTGAACAGTCAGAAGACACTCATGAGGTGAGGCAGGGGAGAATCTGAGGGCCAGAGCTTCTGTTCTTGTGGAGCAGGGGTGCACGCACCACCTGCCCCACTACATGGATGTGTTCACGCACCCAGCTCTCCAAACCCCGTACTTCTGGGATTTTCATGAAGGTTTCATCTTGCAGGCATTTCTAGTCCTTCTCCTCTCTTTCTGGAAAATGGAAGGTATGGCTGAAAGTTCCAAACTTCTAATCATGGCTTGGCCTGTTGGGGGAACCAGCCCCCAACAGGGAGTCCAAAGAGTCACCTCTTCAGGACAAAAGACGCTCCCAAAACCCAGGAAATTGCAAAAGCTGCAGGTGCTCCGGATCAGGAACCGGGGAAAAGACTAAATGTTCGAATGAAAAGGTGCTCCCAATGCTCTTCTCATGGAGGAAACCACCAGAGTCTCAGCAGCTCTGTGCCAGGCAGGGGCAGAGACCAACACAGATATTTCCCACTACCTCACGGTGCTGGAGCAGGGTTCTGAACCAAGACCCGGGATTCCAAAGCCAGAGCCCTCAGGACAGTGCTGGCTGCCGGGTTGCTTGTCCGAAACTTGGGGTCGCCCTCACCGCACGGTGGTGATTAATCCCTCTCCTCACCCATCAGCACTCATCACCCGTCAAACCCTCCGCAATGTCCCCAGAGGCGCCTGCCTGCCAGCCCATCGCAGGCACATCCCCGGCCCTGTCTCCCCGCCAGACGTACCCACGATCCTGCGGATGGGGTTGTCGGGGCTGGCCACGGCCTGGATCTGACCCTTGAGCACGGCCTCCTTGTCCGTGGTGAGGGGGCTGAGGCCACACAGGGAAAGGCAGCTGCTCACCTCCAGGCAGACCTTCTCCCCGACGGCAGTCAGGGCGTCCTCCAGGTGGAAGGAGCTTGAGCAGAGAAGGGAAGGAGAAGCACGGAAGGGAGGGCCCGTGAGCCGAGCGCACAGACCCCTCACCCCCGGCCCCCGCGACCCATCTGTGGACTGACTGGTTCGGGGGGAAACTGTGACCCTTCCCTGCCCCAAGCCTCTCAAACCGTGTCCACCTGACTCAGGGAGCTTCTAACAGAAAGGGGAGGGGAGGGCTCAGGTTATCGCTGGTCTAACAATCTAAAACCCAGCTTCTTGCTCGCATCTGTGTGGTGAAATGAGGCTGGAACTGACCGAGGCCTGCCCTGGACACTTCTGCAGCAACACACTGGACACCACTTTGTCTGTGTGGCTTTTGAAACAGTGTATTGACTACTTTCAAAGAATAAACAGAACTGAAACCTGAAAGTTAAAATGCACACCTCGACTTCCTGGGGCCCCTGGGCTCCCCTGACATCTCTGTGGGGAGCCCTCATGCTGGTGGGTGTTTTCTAAGAAAGCAATCACGTTTGTCCTGGATCTGGAGCAAACGTCCGAACCCTGGGACTCGACGCTGGGGCCAGGGTGGCCACGCTGGGGCTGACCTTCTGAGGGAGCGCCAGACAGGCCCCAGTCCTCAGGAGCTTTGACAGGGCAGTTTTACTGGTGGGGGGCTTAGGAGGGCCTCAGGCCAGGCCTCGCCTCAGCAAATACCCTGCAGGCCTGAGTCAAGACTGTTGAGGCCCAGGTCAGGACTCAGGTATACCCACCTTGTGACACTGAACACACAGGCTGTGTGCAAACTCAGCAGCCAGTTTCTCCACTTTGTAAAGAGGAGGAGGCTTGTGGACATTCCACTTGAAGAATCCTCTAAGCTGGACCTCGCCAGATACAGGTTTATTTGCATGTGTGCTTAATCGCTTCAGTCGTGTCTGACTCTGTGTGACCCTACGGACTATAGCCTGCCAGGCTCCTCTGTCCATGGGATTCTCCAGGCAAGAATACTGCAGTGGGTTGTCATGCCCTTTGCCAGGGGATCTTCCTGACCCAGGGATCAAACCTGCATCTCTTCCATCTACCTGCGCTGGCAGGGGGGTTCTTTACCACTAGCAGGTATATTTAGAACCATTCTAAAAGCTGGAAACCACAAAAATCACCTAATCCGACTTCACTGCAGGAGCACTTACAGAGGCTGCCCTCACACAAGCGGGAACTGGTGCTGGTTGATAAATAATCCATTTACACCCAGCACAGAACGTCTATGAGGAGTGTGCAAAGGGCAGAAAACTTCAGTCACATCCACACACACTGGAAGAATGCAACTTGGTTCTTATGTGACCTTTCCAGGGCTGTGCTGACAAAACTGTTAGTTGGTGGTGAACACAGCGTAACATTGGATAACGACCAATTTTTTTTTTTAATGGAGCAAGAATATAACAGAAATATCAGGAAGTATTAAGCACAGCTGGGCACGTTTCACTTTTAAAGTTTTTCTTTTAGTTACATGGCTGTCCAAGTGTGCACTGTCACCATGGAAGACGAATTTCTTCACTAGGCGTCCAGGTCACAAACATTTGAAAGCCACTGTCCTAGAGCCTTGCTCAGCTACCCTACAGTTGACTCTAACCTTGGCCGTGTGACCCTGAATAAATTCTGCAGGGCACCGGAGAGCCAGGTTTCCTCGGTCCCTGGTGAATGGCCCTGATTCTGTCTCACGCTGCAGACCCCCCACCCAAGCCTGCTCCCGGCCACCCTCTGCCTCGCACCACCCATTGAAGGCCCTCCCCCACAGCTCTTGGCCACTTACGGCAGATGTGTGTCTGTGAGCAGAATCTTCACAATCATCTTGAGTTTCTCGGCGAAGTCAGCCCGGCTGGCGATCCCTGGGGCTGCCATGCTGAACGTGATCAGCAACACGGCCCCCAGGACGGTCAGCTGCTCCAGCTGGAGCTGGAACTCTTGGAAGCGAGAATGGTCCATCAAAACTGTCTGCAATGAATACAACAGAAATTATTCTGAGCTGCAGGTTCGGGGCTGTGACCAGCAGAGGGCGGTGTGGCCACAGCCCCCGCACCTACGGAAAACGGGGATTCCTCCTTCATGGGGCTGTTTTAAGGATGAAAAAAGGGGAGAGGGACAAGTTGGGAGATTGGGATTGACATGTACGCACTAGTATATATAAAATAGGTAACTAATAAGGACCTACTGTATAGCACAGAGAATCATTCAATACTCTGTAATGACCTATATGGGAAAAGAATGTAAAAAAAAAGAGTGGATATATGTGTATGTATAACTGATTCACTTTGCCTAAAACTAATACAACACTGTAAATCAACTATACTCCAATAAAATAAATAAATAAATATGAAAAAAAGATCATGTATATAAAGCAGCTGGCACAGCCAGCACTCAATAAATCCACTCTATCCAGGGCACCGGAGGGAAGGAGAGGAGAAATGTATTTCTTCACCTCCGTATCCCCCCTCAGCATCCAGCACAAAGGAGGCTCTCAAGAACTGGGAAGTGAACAAAGAGAGAGAAAAACTGTCAGTAGGAAAAGCAGGAATGACAGGTAACCCAAAGCCACATGGAAAGCAGTCAGTGATGAACTTCCCTGACGGTGTCCCCGTGTTACAGACAGGTCTGGCTCCAGCCGGGCCCAAGTCCCCGTGTGGGGGGAGGGAAAGGGCAGTGGAGAGGCTGGGGGATACGAAGTCCGATCTGAGTTTTTACAGATTAACCAGGTAAAGTTTAAGGACCAGTCTTGCTATAAGAAACTAATGCACCAAATCAGGACGTTAACAATGTGGAGTCTTAGCCCAGAAGTCTCTCTGCAAAGTAAAAACCATCTCTGAAGGCTGACACTCCTCTCCTGTCAAACAGAGAGGCTTTACCAGTCCCTGTTTTGACTTCACTTTGTTACATGGCATCTGCGTCCTTGCTTTGAAGCCTCCCAGCAGTATGGAGTACTTGGGTTTAGGATGCAAATCCTCCCATTCATTAGCCGATGTGATTACCCAGCCCATAAAAACTAGCACGCCATAATTCTGGGCTGCTCCGGCCTTCCGAGATGGCCCATACTCTGGGGAGTGTGTCTCTCTAAATAAATCCACTTCCTACCTACGGAAAAAAAAAAAATTTCCAAGAATCAATTCTGAGAGTGGATACCTATCCCCATTGAAAACACCATTTTCCCCACAGCAATTTTTCAAGCAAAACATCTACAGGAGAGACGAGAGAGTCTGTGACTCTTCAGGAAGAAGCCTCCCTCACCCCCAGTTCAACACCCTCTTCAGAGTTTGGTCTGGCATGAAACAGGGAACTCAGAGGCAAGAGGTGAAAACTCAGGCTCACAACATCTTAAAAGGAAAAATAAGGAACCGAGAAGGAAAATTAGAGAAGTAGCAGGATCGAAGGCTAGAGATAAGAAGTCTGAGTGCCCTCGAAAAAGAAGGGGAGTCTAGACACCAAACCACCTATTTGCTGGGGAGTCCCTTGTTAGTCATCTCCTGAAGGGATTCTGGCAGTTAGAAGCACTTATTGTAAAAAACATACAAAGAAGGAAAAAAAACCATGGCTCTGCATGGAAGGAGAAGCAGTTTCTTTAGACAAAATTGAAAAACAACATCACTGAGTTAGGGCTTTCATCAGGATGAGTGAAAACAGGACAGACGCTCGGCAGCACAATGAGAAGCTGCACACAGTCCTGGTGGGATTACAAAACAAGGCAGACACTCTGGGAAACGGCCTGGCAGCGCCTAAGAGTCACCATGTGACCCAGCAGTGCTAATCCTAGGTGCATACCTAAGGGAAGTGGGATACATGTCTACACAAAACTTGTACACAAATACTCAGCAGCACAGTTCACAATAGCCTAAAGTGGAAGCAACTTAAGTGTCCATCAATCGATGAACGAATAAAGCAAAATGGGGTATAGCCATACAATGGAATATGATTCAGACTCAGAAAGAGATGTGGACACAAACAACATCGTGGGTGAATACTTAGATATTATACTAAGTGAATACTTAGATATTATACTAAGTGAAATAAGCAAGACACAACAGGACAAATCACTCTGTGATTTCACTCATCTGAGGTACCTAGAGTAGTCAGATTCAGAAAGAGGAGACGGGAGGAGACAGGAATGAGGAATTAGTGTTTGAAGAGTACAGAGTTTCAACTTGTTCTGTAAATGGGTGGCAGTGATGGCTCCACAGTCATGTGAACGTACTTAATGCCCAGAACCGTACACTTAGAGATGGCAGGGACTTTCCCAGTAGTTTAAGACTCCGCCTTCCAAGGCAGCGGGTGGGGGTTCCATCTCTGGTTCGGGGAACTAAGATCCCACAGGCCAAAGGGTTGAGTCAAAAAAAAAAGAGGAGGGGGTAAACTTTACATATATTTTACCACAATTTAAAAAAAACTACTAAAAAAAAAAGGAATGAAGTGCTGATGCAAGCGACAACATGGATGAACTTTATGCTAAGAAGCTAGACACGAACGGCCAATATTGTATGATTCCATTTAAACAGAAAGTTCAGAATAGGACAAATCCATCGAGACAGAGAGGAAGTGGGCGAGGGGTGAGGGGAGAAAGGAGGAAGAATAGCGACTGCCAGTGGGTCCAGGGTCTCCTTTCGGGTAATGGCAATGTTCCGAAATGAAACAGTGGTAATGGAAGCACAACTCTGTGAATGTACTAAAAACCCAAGAATTATACAGCTTACAAAGGAACAATTTTCTGCTATGTGAGTTGCAACTATTACTCTTCAGAAGTTCAGCAGTACAAGAAAGAAACAGGCAGTCAGCTTGCCTGGAGCACCTACTTCAGGGAAAGGTCGGTGGAGGTGGTCCCACTTCAGAAGCTTCAGGTACGCGTAATTCTGGACAGCCATGGGATCTAGCCGGGGACCGTCCCCAGAGCCAGCGGCCCCTCCCGCAGCCGGCAGGGCATTTTTATACTTCTGATTCATAAGGTCATCTGTGGCTTCTTGCAGCCACTGGGTGACAAAGTCCAGGGAATCTGTGAAAAAGCAAGACCTGGAACATTACTGAATGCTCTGAGACACTTCCCAGAATTACTGTAGGGAAGATCATCCTGGAAGTGTGGTCAAGTACAGAGCATGGACTTTGGCATCAAACAGACCTTGGTTTACATCACAGAACAGGCGATTACCAGTTGAGTGACCTTAGGTTCGTCATAATCTGTCTGACTCTCAAGGTTCTTAACATAATGAAAGGTCTGGCACTGGTGGCATTAGTGGTAAAGAACCTGCCTGCCAATGCAGGAGACATAAGAGACACGGGTTCAATCCCTGGGTCGGGAAGGCCATGGCATCCCTGGAGGAGGGCGTGGAAACCCACTCTAGCATTCTTATCTGGAAAATACAGGCCACAGGGTCACACAGAGTCAGACACGACAAGCAACTTAGTATGCGCGCACCAGCCCCACCTCAGAGGCAGCTGGGAGGGCTAACCATGACAGTGGACACAACGCGTGTACCCTGGTCTTACCACCTCAGATGTTCAACAGACTTTTGCTCTTTTCTCTCCCACCCCGGCCACTCACGCATGACACGTGGCTGGAAGCTCTGAGAAGTCCAGCTCAGTGAGATGCAAAAATTCCTGCCCAGGGAAGATGGGGGAGATGCTGGCTAGAGTTTCCCAATACAAAGTACCTCCTCCACAGTGAAAACGAGGCTGTCCTTGTCTAGATCTCAGCCTCCTATCAACCTGGTTCACTGTCAGCCTTGCCGGGGTAAGTCCTGTCACCTGTTTGGCATGTACTGCATGGCATTTGGTGGGGGGGGGACTCCCCCACCCTGGTGAGGGGACCTCGGTTGTCTTACATCTGCTGGCATGCTTTCCTACTCTTCTGAGTAATGTATCAGGGATTCGGAGGGACACGAGAGCAAGAAGATGAGGCTTTTGTCCATGTTGTCTAAGCAAAAAAAAAAAGAAAAAAAAAAACCCTCTGATAGGACACGAACAGACTGCAGCCCCGTCAGTGGGGTTACCACAAGCGGGCAGTCGTGGGCACGGCTGGAGTCCACTCTTCACGACCGCAGCCGGACACACCTCCGGTCCTGCCCACACACTGATCACGCCGAGCTCTCGGTTCTGGGCTTCGCTCTCCCTTCAGCCTCTGGAGGCAGCATTCTGCAGGCCACCAGCTCTGGGCCTGGGCCCTGGCTGCCGGCACTGACCCTTAGGCTAAGGCTCTTCAGCCTGTAAACTGTAACCCTGATACCTCCTGAGGGGCAGTACAATACTGGTTGAGAAAAAGAGCTGAGCGGGTCAATTTTTCCCCCCAGTTTATTTAGTTTTCGCTGCACCGGGTCTTTTTGTGCTCGCAGGCTTTCTCCAGTTGCAGCATGAGGCCTACTCACTGAAGGGGCTTCCCTTGTTGCGGAGCACAGACTTCAAAAGTTGTGGCGAGTGGGCTTACTTGCCCCATGACATGTGGAATCTTCCCCGACCGGGAACTGAACCTATGTCCCCTGTATTGGCAGGCGGATTCTTACCCACTGGGCCACCAGGGAAGTCCCTGTGGTCATTGGTTCTGGTCAAAAATCCCTCAAAGCCTATTTCCACATCTGTAAAATTGGTTTAAAAAATAGTGTCTACCTCCTAGGCTTACTGTGAGGTCATCTATGGCAACGTTGGTACATAGCAAATTCAAGCAGGGGCACTGAATTAACGACTTTGATCAGACTACACAATCTATCCAGAGACTGCCACTTTCATCTGTGACCAGCAAATTTACAGGCTAAAAGGAATGCGTAATAAATTGGAACTGAAGACCGCAATTCACTGAGACCATCTGCTGCCAAGGCAGAGACCAAAGAAAGGACCCTAGAAATGCAACATAGTTTGGATCCTAAGTTATCCGTTCCCAGCAATCATCGGAGACATTCAGAAAAATGAAACTTTTTCTGATTATGAAACCAGAAGATTTTGCACACAGTCAAGCAAAATTTCTTGATGTACCTCATAGAGCTAAACAGTCCTAAGCAGTTCGCCACATTTTAAAATCAAGTAAACAATTTACCTCAAGCTGATGTTTTCATTAAAAGCTCATTTAATTTAGGACTTCATTGTTCTTTTAAATTTCTATTCTCCTCTTCTACTTACAGTTCTCTTGCTTGTCAACTAAGCTATCAAGGCCTAATGGCTTGTGCTTTTCTGTCTTCAAATGAGGCTACTGTATTTCCATACTGGGCTTCCCAGGTGGCTCAGTGGTAAAGAACTCACTTGCCAATGAAGGAGACATAAGAGGTGCTGGTTTGATCCATGGGTCTGGAAGACCCCTTGGAGGAGGGCATGACAACCCACTCCAATATTCTTGCCTGAAGAATCCTATGGACAGAGAAGCCTGGCGGGTTACAGTCCATAGGGTCACAGAGAGTAGGATAAGACGGAAGTGACTTAGCATGCACTTATGTATTCCCATATTAAGTTTTCATTTTGTTTAGAAAATATCATTTTGCAACAACCTACAGTGATATCATTTTGCAACAACCTACAGTGACTAAAATGAAAAAACACAGACAACAAATAAGCACCACAAAACATTAAACATACTTGGCTGCTTCTCCAAGAACTCCTGAAACTGCTTCCTTTCATATTCAACTGATTGCTGCATGAGATGTGGCCTAATGCTACTGACAGCAAAGTTCGCCATGTCCACTTTCATTAGGTCCAACACTGAAAAAATTGCCCTGGAAGAGACAAGAGGATTTAGCACTAGGCACTTGCAAAGTAAACACTGCTGTAAAAAAAAAAAAAAAAATGAAGTGAGCTGATTTGAGGTGGTTTTTTCATCCTGGAAAGGGTGGCAAGAAAAGTTGGAGAAGCTGTGAGAAAGCAGATTAAGAAAAACAAATTTAGAAGAAAGGACTGCAAATTTTTAAGCTGCTCTCTGATCCAACCCACACCCCTAGGCAAACATCACTTTCCCCACTGCCTGTCTGGCCAAGAGCTCATTCCTTGGCTCCGGGTCAGCCCTCACGGCAGGAGAGGAAGAATAGCCCAGACCCAAGGTTAAGAGCACCACGGGGTCTCCATGCCTACAGGGTAATTTCCTTTCCTAGGAGAGAAAGAAAGGTAACTCTCTCCTTTCTCCCCCCTTGCCCTAGTCTCTGAGTTCCAGGGCAGGTTTATGCTCTGGCTTTGATGGTATAATTGTGAGTTTGTGCTCTGAAAGCACCCGATGGGCAAATCTGACAAGATACCAAGGATGCCTTCCACAGCATGCCTGTCCCATACCTGCAGCTCTGCTCTACGTGACCCACGTGCAGAAGGTGGACATGAACCCAAGGTGTGGGCTTAGGTGTGGCCCCACGCAGAGCTAAGAGTCCGGTCAAACACCCTCGGGGTCTCCTGATGCCGTCTGGGGCTGATGGGACATCGTATGACAGAATAAACTCACCCACACAAGGTGATCATGTATGGGAAAGGACACACGGTCCGAGCAACAATTCGGGGCCCGTCCCCGCCACCGCTCTGGCCCACTCCCAAGTACACGGGGCAGCCCGCTTTCTGGAGGGCCTTGTGCCTCTCCCATGGGCATTCCCAACAGGCCCCTCGATTCACCAGCAGGAAACCAAGGACGACTGGAAAGTGACAACGGGCAGACCACTGCCTGGAAGTGGCCCACAAACATGTTTTGTGCTCACAGTGCTTTTAAAGGCGGGGATTTCTAGTTTCTCTTGAAAAATCAAAAGATCTGGCAACCCAGGCCCACATTCCATCACAGCTACAATCAGTTGGTGCTAAGCAGCCACTGTGGCCTCCTTCAGGTAGGGTGTGTACGCCCAGTTTCCCCAGTCCCTTCTCCTTCCAGCAGGAATCTGAGTTTGGATGAGTCTGCTACAAGCTACTTCCCCGGAGGACTCTCTTCCAAGGAATTCCTCATTTAACTTGACTAGATTATGGCTCTTAAAAGTGAAAGTTTAGTTGCTCAGTTATGTCCAACTCTTTGTGACCCCATGTACTGTAGCCTGCCAGGCTCCTCTGTCCATGGAATTCTCCAGGCAAGAATACTGGAGTGGGTTGCCATTCTCTTCTCCAGGGGATCTTCCTGACCCAGGGATTGAACCTGGGTCTCCTGCATTTCAGGTAGATTCTTTACCATCTGAGTCACCAGGGAAGCCTAGATTATGGGCTCTTACTGACTATATTATTTCTACTGTCTCGCACCATGCCTGGCACATAAGAGGCACTCAGTAAGAGCTTGTTGAATGAATGAACAAATCAATAACTATCTTAAGGCAGTCTTTTAAACATGTTCTCTCTAAACCTTGAGGTAACCTTACAACGCTGGGCATATTTCTAGGTAATGAATATTGATAGCATGATGATGTCAAGAAAGCTAGAAATGAAACTTTTTTTGCTTATAAAACTTTTGAAAAGGAACCTGCTAACATGCAATGAGTCTTAAAACTGTTCACATCCTCTGACACAGTAATGTCATTTTAAGAACCTATCTTTATGAAATAATCTAAAATACAGAAAACCGTTTTGTGCAGAGATGTTTTCACTACAGGGTTAAGTACTAAATAACTATACATGATCTGATTGTATATCTTAACAGAGAAACAGTTAATCATATCTATGAAAAAGGATGTTTTGCACCCACTGAAAATACTTATGAGGAGTTTAAACAAGTGATATATGTTGGTTATAAAAGGGCAATGAAAGAGAACCTTGGAGTATCAGAACTATTTAGTATCTTGAATGCAGTGGTGGATATGCAAACTCAGGTGATAAAATTGTATAAAAATTACTATACATAAACTCATACATGTGTACACAGGAAATCTCAATGAGATCAGTGGACTATATCAGGATCAACACACTGAGGATGATAGTTTTGTGAAATGTCACCCTTGGGAGAGGTGGGGGAGAGTGCACTGTATTATTTTCTTACAATTCCATGTGAATATACAATTATCTCAATGACACTTTCAATGCAAAAATTAATGAAATAATTAGGGTGTAATACTAACGAAAAAAAGTCAGGCTTGCAGCGCCCACTGGAAGGTCTTCTTTGGCTCAGTTGAGCAGACTCACAAGACAAGTGTAAACCACAGGTCTGACGCCACCTGTTCACACACCTTTGTCAACAGAGTGTCACCAAGCACTCCTTTGCAAGCACAGTTACATCATCAGCCAGGAGCAGACGGCTCAGAAGTGCGGGAGCCCCTGGCTTAAAAGCTCACAACAGCGCCAAGGTATGCCTTCCAGGGTGTCTATGGGGGGCATGTCCAGCTACAAGTTTCCCCCACAAAAAAGAGAAAAGTTTCCCCACTTGAGGAAATACCAAATATGGTGTCCCATCCAGTATTTATAGTTCATTATCATTCCTTTCTGTCCAGAGGCAATTTACCAGTCAGAGGTCATTTTCCCCATAAGCAATGCTGCCTAGTAGCATTTTGATATCTGTTTACAGAAAAGAATTGAGAATTTAACCAAAAGTCAAATTCTCAGGCAGCATCATGTCAATCCTCTGCCCATATAGCATAAACATTATATAAATTTGATCATAATTATATACATTTAGAAATATACAGTCAAAAGACTAAAGGAAACGAATATGGACTAAAAGTTAATAGGATTATTTTTTTTCTTTTTTTTTTTTGGTTGCTAGTAGAGCTGTCTTGCAAGAAATAGTAAAAGAAGTTCTTCAGAGAGAAGGGAAACAATGTATCAATAGATCATATACTTGGAAAAGAAAGGAAGAGCATCGGAGAAAAAATAAGTGAAAATGCTCATTTTTTATTTTTTTAGGCCACATTGTGTGGCCTGTGGGATCTTAGTTCCCTGACTAAGGATGGAACCTGTGCCCCCTGCATTGGAAGCACAGAGTCTTAACCACTAGACTCGGGGGAGTCCCAAATAAGTGAAAGTAAAATTAAAATTTGTATTTTTCTTGATAGGTAGTTGTTCAAAATAATATGTTCAACTATGTATGCTTATGTATACTTTAGTATACATATCAAAGAGCCTCTTGATGAGGGTGAAAGAGGAGAGTGAACAACTGGCTTAAAACTCAACACTGAAAAAACTAAGATCCTGGCATCTGGTCCTGTCCCTAGTGTTTTTGCTCAGTCGTGTCTGCCTCTTTGTGACTCCACAGACTCTGGATCTCCAGCTCCTCTGTCCATGGGATTCTCCAGGCAAGAATACTGGAGTGGGTTGCCATTTCCTTCTCCAGGGGATCTTCCCAACCCAGGGATCGAACCTGGATCTCCTGCATTGCAGGCAGATTTTTTTTTTTTTTACCATCTGAGCCACCAGGGAAGCCCCCACTTCATGGCAAACGTGAGGGGAAAAAGTAGAAGCAGTGACAGATTTTATTTTCTTCACTGCAGATGGTGACTGCAGCCGTCGGTTTTTTTTTGGAAGGAAAGCTATGACAAACCTAGACAGCATATTAAAAAGCAAAGACATCACTTTGCCAACAAGATTCGTATAGTCAAATATTTGGTTTTTCCAGTCGTGTTCAGCTGTGAGAGCTGGACCATAAAGGCGGCTGAGCATCGGAAGAACTGATGTTTTCAAATTGTGCTGTTGGAGAAGATTCTCGAGAGGCCCTTGGATAGCAAGGAGATCAACCCAGTCAATCCTAAAGGAAACCAGCCCTAAATACTCCTTGGAAGGGCTGATGCTGAAGCTGAAAGCACGCTCCAATACTTGCGTCAGCTGATGTGAAGAGCGGACCCATTAGAAAAGACCCTGATGCTGGGAAAGATCCAGGGCAGGAGAAGGGGGCGACAGAGGGTGAGCTGGATGGATGGTGTCACTGACTCAATGGACATGAGTTTGAGCAAACTCCAGGAGACGGTAAAGGACAGAAAACCTGGCAGTGTTGCAGTGCATGGGGTCGCAAAGTCAGACACGACTCGGCGATTCAACAACTGCCACTACCAATCGCATGCGTCCTCCCCTCTCCTTAAACCCCTCCAACCCCGTCCCGCGCAAAGTTACCGACCTCTCTATCTCTAGTGAATGCTGCCGTTTTCCTATTGTTTCCTTTCTTATAAGAGCAAAACCCTTTTGAAGCCTTCAGTAGTTTTGCATTTGACACTCAGCGACAGCGAAAGTCTGGCACGGGGCTCTGGCGCAAACACGATTAAAGGAAAGGATTTTGGGCAGGAGGGGGGGGTGTGTGGGAGCAGGTGTATGTTCTCACGACACACTCCCCAGGCCAATCCCCTTTTTACAAAAATTAATCAAAATGAAACCCCCTTCAGTTATCACCGTGGGGCTGCCGGCCCTCAGATGACTCCCGGAAATGACGCCGACAGCCCTACGCTCCATCTGCCAGTCGGCAGCGGAGGCGGGCGGTGGACGTAAGCACGTCTGTCCGGCAACTCGTCCAGCTCGGGGAAGTCTGGAGAGCTCCGCCGGGGACCGCCGCCGGGTCTGCAGGAGCCGGGCCCTAATAGGATTATTTTAATGTTAAATTTCTTAAATATCCTGGTTGCATTTTGATCATGTGAGAGAATATCCACAATCATAGGAAGTACTTGCAGAAATAGTTAAGGGTGAAATATAGCATCTGACATTAACCATCAGAAGGTTCATGGAAAAATACATACATACATGCATATATCCTCAATGTATGATAAAGCAAATTGACTGTTAAAAACTGGTGGATCAAAAAAAAAAAAAAAAACAAAACAAAACTGGTGGATCTATGTAAGCATTACATGAGTGTTGATTATATTGTTTTTGCAATTTTTCTGTAGATTTGTAATTTTTTCCAAATGCTGAGGCAAAAAAACTAAAAAAATTTATATATCAATATGACAATAGTGATTGTGCCTTTGTGTGATAAAATCATGGGTGAATTTTTTTCCTTTCTACTTTTCTGTAGTTTACAAAATGTTTGCTTTTTAAAAAATATTTCATGTCTTTTTGTTCTATTGGATTTATATTGATTTTAGTAAAAAAAAAAAAACATTTAAAATTTTAACTTTTTAAAAATATATGCTAATGATCAGTCTTTGCCTTGATTTGCTTTCGGTCATTTAAAGAGTATACACACTATAACCTCACGCAGTCTCAAGTTCACTGTCTTTTCTCTTTTCTTCAAGCCTTCCCCTTCTCTTCACTTCCTTTGTTCCCTCCCTCCTTTCTTCTTTAATTATAACTATTATTTTTAAAAAATATGGAATGCTTCACAGATTTGCAAGTCATCCTTGCCAAGGGGCCAGGCAAATCTCGGTACTATTCCAATTTTAGGATATGCGCTGCTGACGTAAACACAACAAAATGTCTGCGTTTTAATTTTTTTTCGTTAAGGCATGAATACTTACACTTGAGGGAGTCTAACTCTGAAAACAGGCTATGTATTTTAGGTGCCCTGAGGTGATTCACACAATACCCATACCTGAAAAGGGGCACTATTTCCTTAACGTCCTTCAGTCTCTTCACCTCCTCATCGCGCACAGGTGCACACAGCGTCCCCATCATGCCAATAATGAATTCTGCCAGCTTAGAAATGTCCAGGGCCCCATTCTCTGCCTCCTGCTTTATCAGATCCAGATCCAAGACTTCTGTTATCTGGTTTCTCAGTCTAGTGTGACCAGGCAGCAAGAAAGACAGGAGGGTCTACAAGAGAGCACAGCCAAGCTAATCAAAGCTTCCTAGTCAGATGCCATTTTTTATTATGTGTAAAGGAATTGACAATTATCCAAAAAAGGGCTTACCAATTGTTACTGTAATGGTGCACATATTTGAACCTCTTATTCAACAAATCTATAGGAAAACATGTGTACAAATCATTTAGACTAGCTATTTAAACTTCCATTTAAGCTCTAGGTAGCAAGCAACTGGACATAGGAAGAAAAAACTATTAAAAGTGAAAAAAAACACATTAATGGAATGTGAGCCTGTGAGCCAATGACAAACGGTAATTTCCACAGACATATTACTTCTTTGAGAAACTGTTTCTAAAGATATTGCAAAAACAGTCCTACCCTCCACTTAATACCTTCTTTATCCCAAAGTCTGAGTCACTTTTTTGATCATTATATATTGAAGGTGTTCATATCTGTTAAGATTTTTATAAATCATCATATTTTATAAAATAACTTTTTTTTTTAAGTAATTCTGTTTTTTAAAATCTGAACCTTTTTTCATTTATAAGAGTAATGCCCTTAGGTTATCATGGCTTGTTTGAAAGTTTTTAAAGGGCAGTAAGCCACAAATACACTAAATCCACATTTCAGCAAGCAATTTAAAATCTTCATCCTTCAATTTCTTTAAAGCCTTCTAGTACACTAACACAGGGAGGTGGGATTAAAAACTCCTAACACACCAGGAAAGCATCACGACTTGCTCTTCGCCTCACCTCTTTGATCTCACCAACAAGCTTGATGGCCCGGTCATACGTCGGGGGGACTTCACTTAGCTGGACACTCAAGCAATCCCAAAAAGCTTTATGGACAATATCCTTTACTCTCTTCTCCAAGCTGGAGGCAGATGGAAAAAAAGCAAATATCATTGTCTCAAATCGCTCTCAAAAGCACAAATTCTATAGGTTTAGAGTGAGAAATTTTTTAAATTACTTGGTTGAAGGAAAGAGTTCCCAGACATACTTAAACCAATCACATACCTTATTTTTAGTTAGTGATTTATTTCAATAAGTACCTTTCTTAATAAGTGTTCTTTCAATGGAAAGGATAACTTTCATCTAGTTTGATAGGAGGTATCAGTCCAATTAACAGCCTGAACCAGTGCCATATGATAAAAATAATACTGGAAAGCTCAGATCTGATCATTTAAGTTTCCTGATATCAGAAAATTTCTTTAGATGTTTAAGACTTTAAACTCGAAGTTTTTTTGCTAAAATTATCCTATTCTCATGTGACACATAGGACAACTGTTAATTAGGTACCAGATTATAACCACTTATATTTAACATTTCAGGAAAACCAGTCTTTATGTCATGAGAGCAAAACAAGTAATTCTTCACTAGGAACATGAAAAGGTGCTATCCTTGCAGAACATACAAGAAACATTTGTAAAGTCCTATTTAGAAGCCTCACGTGGGAGACACTATAGCTTGCTGACTCAGCAGTCACTGCTCTGTCAACAGAAACCCAAGTTTTTCATGGTACTTTCACAATTATAATGGGAAATGCTTTTTTTTCCTTCTTGGGACAATCCATCTTTTAACAGTGTATCTTACAATTAATAGAATTTCAGATTCAATATAATATGGGCCAGCTGCTAGGTAGGGATAGAGAATAAAGCATAAAGCATAGTCCTTATCTCTGAGGAGTTTACAATCTGGTAACGAAAGACAGTAAACCAACAACTACAGTACAATGTGACAGTTACAAAGAAGAAATGAAGGAAACAGTACTATGAACACACAAAAGGAGGCAGCTAAATTCTATGGACTGGGGAGACACTAACATGGAAGACTTCCAGACCTTTCATTTACATTGTCAAGGATCAGTGGTCCTGACATACACTTTCAAACTCTGGTAATTCCAAGGATAAGGAATATTTTTTAGCAACATACAAAAGGAAAAATATTTTAGAATATATACATCAAGTGAAGAAAATATTTCCAGAACTGGAAAATGGCAGTGTTCTACTAAACAAGATAACTCAGTAACCACCTTACCTGTCTTCTGGTAATTCAACTGGTTTAATCTGAAAGTCTCCATTTATAACAATCTCATGGGCTAGGGCCATGTTAGTGACTCCTTTCGCTGTCTCTAGAAGTTCTTCTACTGTCACGAATCGAGGAGGACTAGCTGTAACAAAAGTCTGGTGTAAGAGGTTTGCTCCTCTAGATTAGGATTTTCTCCTAAATTTTTTAAATTAATTTTAGAAGGCAGTGGTTCTCCTACAAGCTAACAGCTAATAATTTCAGTTATGCCTCTACTTATGAAAATATTCTGGCAATTTCAAACAAGAGAATTGTACCTATTTCATATTCACTTTTTTCTTTTAACCTAGAATCCTAAAAGCAGAGATCATTTACAATACTCAAAACATTTTTTTTTTCTTGGTAAAACTGGTCAATGGCAAATGATTACAATAAATGAAAACTTAGAAAAAACTTTTTAAAGTTACTGATTATCACTTTCCCAACAAGCTGAGGGTTTATTTTCTAATCCCTATGCCTCCTGTCCATCCTAAATGGAAAAAAAGACACCAGATTTAAGATCGCCTCTTTTGTTCCCATTAGCAGTTTACCATTTTGCTCCATCATCAACACTGTGCCATGAATGAAGTGAAGTGAAATCACTCAGTTGTGTCCGACTCTTTGCAACAACATGGACTATAGCCCACCAGACTCCTCCATCCATGGAGTTTTCCAGGCAAAAGTACTGGAGTGGGTTGCCATTTCCTTCTCCAGGGGATCTTCCTGACCCAGGGATCGAACCCGGGTCTTCCACATTGCAGGCAGACGCTTTACCGTCTGAGCTACCAGGGAAGCCCCTGGTGCCATGAATCAATCTCCCCAGATAAAAACAGCAGCGAGTACTTTAGGGTGCCAGGTGCTATTTAAACAACGCTAAAACTACTACTAGGATATTAGGGCAATATAAGAATTCAGAGATCGACAGATGAACAAATCAGAGGCTGTGTGACACAAGAATTTCTGGAATGCAGGCCCAACGAATCAAAAACCTCAGTTATATTTGATTTCTCCCTTTCCACCACTGTTAGCCAGGTCCAGTGAGTTTTATTTCTGTATCACCTGTGGCAATACCCTCATAATGGGTTTCCGTTCTTCTCTTTCTTTTGATAAAGTTTGAGACTTATCTTCTAGACAAAAAAAAAAAAACTCCTCATAAACCTTCCCAGGTGTTCTGAGCCAAGGAACATAGGGTAATTCCTACACTTAAAAAGCCAATGATTAATACATGCATGTCTTTGGTCTATCAATTATACCTTAATAAAGCTGTTAAAAAAAAAAAAAAGCCCACGTAAGAGTGTCTTTAATTTAGAATCAGGGGGAGGGCTTATGCTGGCCCCCCTCCATGTTTCTGATTTAGCCTGTCTGGGGCGGGGCTGGAGAACTGCATTTCTTGTAAGATTCCACCTGATACTGATGGTTTCAGAAACCATACTCTGAAAAGCACTGGCCTGGAGGACGGTTATATTAATTTTATACAGTGGTGATAAAATCTGGGCTTAAAATGGCACTGGTTTACACATGGTTTAACAGCTGTAAAGATCTTGCTAGGTCACTGAAAAGCTATTTTCTCCCTTCTTTCCCTTTTTTTATTTGCTCACCAGAAAAAGGAATCAAATCTAAGAGCTGGTCATATCCTGTCTGGTAAAAATCCTTTTTTAGTCATGTAAAGGGAAGTTGAAAAACTTCACAAAATTCTTTTCAGCATTTTCAGAGAATATTAATAAAAATAATAAGTAAAACTGACTTTGTGGATATTAGTAAAATGCAATAAATATCCAAAATCCAGGTCCAACAGATCTTTTCAATTCTCAGTATTACTTAGCTGTCAATTTCTACCAAATTGATCTACTGATAAAATGAAATTCCAATCAAAATCCCAGCAAGGTTTTTGTTGAAATTGCCAAATGGGCTCTTAAACTTGGATGGAAATGCACAGGACCTAGACAGGTCAAAACTATTTTGGAAAAGAAGAAATTTGGAGGACTTATACTAACTGATTTAAAGAAAAGCAACAATAATTAAGACAGCGTGTGGGAATTCCCTGGTGGTCCAGTGGTTGGGACTCCATATTTCCATTGCAGGGAAACAGGTTCCATCCCTGGTCAGGGAACTAAAATGCCACATGCCGCATGACGTTAAAGAAAAAAAAACAAAAAAGACTGTGTGTGTCTGGCATGACAAAAGATATTCAGATGAACTGAACAGAGCAGAAGATCCCCAACTAGACTGGGACACACACATACACATGTATGAAAAGTGAAAGCATTATTGCCTCAGTTGTGTCTGGCTCTTTTGCCACCCATGGACTATAGCCAGCCAAGCTCCTCTGTCCATGGGGTTTTCCAGGCAAGAATACTGGAGTGGGTAGCCATTCCCTTCTCCAGGGGATCTTCTGGACCCAGGGATCGAACCCAGGTCTCCTGCATTGCAGGCAGATTCTTCACCATCTGAGCCACCAGGGAAGTACATGTGTATATTTGTGGCCAAAAAGGGAAGATTAGTTTTTTCATCAAATAGTGCTGAAACAATCAGAAATCTATTTGTAAAGAAATGACCCTTGACCTTTACCTCAAATGATAAATAAAAACTAACTCAGTAAATCCATGGCTGATTCATGTCAATGTATGGCAAAAACCACTACAATATTGTAAAGTAATTAGCCTCCAACTAATAAAATAAATGAAAAAAAAACCTCAAAACGAGCTGCAAAGCTAAATATAAAAACTTAAACTATACAACTTCTAGGAGAAAACACAGGCCAAAATCTTTGTGATCTTGGATTAGGCAAAACAGGATACAAAAAGCTCAAAATACAAAAGAAAAAAAATTATGAATTAAACTTAAAAGTTAAAACTTAAAAAAAAAAGGAAAAAAAAAGTTAAAACTTCTGCTCTGTGAAAGACTATACTAAGAAAATGAAAAGGCATGCCACAGATGGAAGAAAATACTTATAAAACAAGTATTGGATAAAGGACTTGTATCCAGCATATATAAAGAACTTTTAGAACTAAATAACAGAAGATAACCACTACCAAATGGCAGAAGATTTGAACATTTCTATGAAGCAGATAAACAAATGGCCAGTCAGAGCATGAATGGTCAACATCATTACGGTCATCATTAATCATAAGGGAAATGAAAACCAAAACCAGACAGATATCACTATACACACCTGCTAGATGAACCAAAATTAAAGAGACTAATCCTACCAAGTGTTGGCGCAGATGTGGAGTAACTGGAACACTCATACATAAGTGTTAGGGATGCCAAATGGTACAGTCACTTTGGGAAAGAGCCTCTTGGTTTCTCATAAAGTAAAACATACACTTACCATCTGATCTAGCAGCCTTGCTCGTAAGTGTTAACCCAAGAAAATGGAGAACATACGGCCATTTAAAGATCTGTACTCAAAAGCTCATAACCATCAAAATGTCCATAAACCTCAAAATGGATAAACAATTGTAGCATGACCTCACCATGGAATACTACTCAGCAATAGAAAAGGAACAACTACTGACACATGCAACAACATAGACGAGTCTAAAAAGTATTGTCCTAAGGGAAAGAGTCAGATACAAAAAGCCATGCACAGAAGAGTCCATTTATATGAAACTATAAAAATGGCAACATTACAGTGACAGGAAGCAGATTAGGCTGCTAAGAGCTGGGACTGGGGGAGTGGGGAAGATTCACTGCAAAGGGACACAGGAGAATATTGGGAAGTGATAGAAATACTGTAGCAGCTCATGATTGTGGTTGTAGTGACAAAACTGTATATGTATTGTCAAAACTCATCACTTAGAATTGGTGAATTTTATTATATATAAATTACACCTCAATAAAGTTAATTTAAAATTGTAAGGCACTCAGTTGGGATATGCTCGCATGTGTGCGCATGCTCTCTCTCTCTCTCTCTCTATATATATATATATATATAATAATATATATACACATATACTGTTAGTAAATTTCTTCAGGGTAGTGTTTTCTGTTGCTACATATCAGAAGATGGAGGTTTCACTGTGACATACCCAGTATCAGAACTCCACTGAGTTCTTTTACTTTTACAAAGAAATTCATAGACTGTTACCAGGACTTCCAAGTTTTGTTTAAACCTTGGTTTTGCAAAAATATTCAAATGTCTGACCATCTTAAATTTATGAAAATCAGAGAAACACACCAAGTTCTCTCATAAATTTACTATAATTTTTTTCAACAATTTTAGGCATTTGGGTAATTGATAAATTGGGTAATTGATAAATAAGACAGCTAATACACTACCTGGTCATGAAATGCAGTGGACAGAGCAAGTCAGGAAGAAATATAGCTCTCTCTAGACTGTGCAGAGTAACCCTTGAACAAGTCATTTAAATGTTTCAGGCTCACTGTTTCCTAATATGGAAAAGAAGATATGACTGAAGGATGTTCTAGGAACGCCTGAGACTTTCCAGTCACAGGCAAGTGTGTCTTCACTGTTTTGGGCCTATGTGGGACAAAACAGCTTGTATCAAGTGCTGAGACTGTGAGACAACCAGGAAGAAGAACGTTTTCAGGACCTGTCCAAGTTAAAGGCTACTTAAAAGTCAGACTTATTAATGGAGGGTGTTTGATCAACAAAGATGCAATTCTAAGACATGACCAGGGTATATCAGAGATCCACATGTATAGGAATTATTCACTGCATGCTAATCATAGGGTTGTGGGTGAGTCTGTTGGGTTTTTTGTTTTTATTTTTGTTTTGAGAGTTCTCAAATGTACCAATTTCATAAACGAGAGCTTATAAAGACGCAGTCTGTTGAACCACCAGCTTCACCTCAATTTGTGAAAAGGACCTGAGTTGTAACAAGAGCCATAAAGAATGGAAGGTTACATGTACTTCACCCTACAATTTATTTTACTATGTGACGTAACACTAAAGCTCTCACTAAACTGTTACAGCGTTTGTACACTGATGCCCTGCTAGAGAAGCTAAGAACCACATGATGTTAATCATGCCCTTTCGGAGGTTGGTGAAGGAGGTTGGTGAACAGATTCCAAAAATAAAATGAAGGTCTAATTCACATGGTCATACTCTCTACCTTCCTTTACTAAAGGTGTTCTAGGAGC